CCAAGCTATCGCTTAGCACCTGCCGAAGCGGCTTCACGTTCAGAAACCCGATTTTTCTCCTCCCAGGTTTGCAAAGCTGGCCTCTTTGCCTTGCCCCCACCGAGGGAACGGCTTCTCTGGCCCCCCAGGGCTGCCTCGAAGAGGACTAGTGGGATTTGGGGCTCAGGAGGACGCCAGCCTCCTTCCCAGCAGGGACGGCTGAAGAAGAAGCAGCCCAAAGACGCTCAGAGAGTCAAGAGGTACTAATTGCAATCTTGGCAAGGCAATTAAGGCAAGTGGGCTCCGGAGAAAAAGCAGGCAATTGGGGGGGGGGAGATAGAATCTGGAGGAGATATCCTGGGGTAGGCAGTTTTCCTCTACCCTCCTGCTGCTTTTTCCTCCGCTGAGGTAGCACTTCCTTCCCCTTTTCTTTTCTTTTCTTTCTTTCTTTCTTTCTTTCTCTTTCTTTCTTTCTTTCATTCTTTCTCTTTCTTCCTTTTTCTTTCTTCCCTTCCTTCCTACACCTTTCTTTCCTTCTCCTTCTCATCCACTCCTCCTTCATGTTTTCTTTCTTTCTTTCCTTTTTTTACCCATTCCTCCTCCCTATCCATCCTGCCTTCATTTTCTTCTCCTTCTCATCCACTCCTCCTTCCTACCCTTCCTTCCTGTTTTTCTTTCCTTCTTCTCACGCACTCCTCCTCCCTTCCTTCCTTCCACTTTTCTTCCTCTCTTTCCTTTTCACCCAATACTCCTCCCTATCCACTTCCTTCCTTCCTTCCTTCCTTCCTTCCTTCCTTCCTTCCTTCCTTCCTCCGAAAAACTAAAAAAAAAACCAGCCAGCAAAGACACCCCCGTCACAAAATAGTATCTTATTCATCCCTCCCCACCATCCTTCTATTTTAATTCTCAGGCCAGCCCACAAAAATCTCATTTACGGGCTTGTTGTTCCAGCTTCAACCCTGCAAGGCAATTTCACGGGAACCCGGCTCGTGGGCCGGGGATGATGGGCCCTGCAATTCCAGAGGATGCTGGGCTGCTGCTGGATGCTGCCGGCTTTTGCACGCTCGCTGGCGGGGGTCCAGATAGCCAGGAGCGCTGCTCCCCCCCCTTTTTCCCGCTTCTATACCGCCGCTAATCCCGTTGCCCAATTCCGGGTGTCTCTCGAGAGCCTCCATTAGGCTGATCCTGTGTCACAAGCCAGCTCTGATCTGCTCCCCGCCGGGCCTAATCGGGGTCCGCTTTGATAATTGTGACAGCCTGAGACGTGGCCTGCTGACACACTGACACACACACACAGGCACACACGCCGAGCCCAAGGCTCGCCAATTAATTAGCTTCCGTGCAAAAGCCAGGGACAACGCCGCAGCGCAAATGAAAGGCAGCGCGGCGACATCTGCAATGGTGCATTGAGGTTATAAAAAAATAAAATAGAATAATATAAGATTCTCTCTCTCTTCCTTCCCCTTCTCCAACCTCTTGTCAGGTTGCCTAAAAAAAAAAACCACCTTGCAAAACTGCAGAACGTGCGCGCTTCGCAAAAATGCGACCACAACACGGAGAACATTTTTAAAAACCTGTGTAACTCCTTGGAAACGGCGAGAAAAAGCCCAAACCGACAACCGCCGTGACTTCTGAACCACGCGAAAAGGGCCTCGTTTATTTTTTTTCCCTCCCTTTCCTCATCCTGCCCCGTCAGTTTTCCTTGCGTGCCGGGACATCCCGGCGTATCACAACCTGGAGAACAGAGAGGGTTTTTTCCTGCTGCAGGAGATTTCCAGCCAAAGGTTCAAAAGGCCCTCTGTTCATGCTCAGAAGCTGGTTTTTTTTGGGGGGGGGGGAGGGTGTTTGAGCCTTCTTCTCCAGCTAGGTTTCTTGGCGAGGCACTGCATCCAGACGATCTCCAAGGAAAAAAAACCAGTTTTTGCCATCTGCCGCCTCGGAATTGTAAAAAAAAATAAAAATAAAAATTGGA